ATATGAATTTCATGAATGTTGTGCTAAGGCTGATCCTGAAAGAAATGAATGTATTTTGTCCCATAAAAATTCAACTAAAGGATTTATCCCTCCCTTGGTTCATTCAACTGTAGAGGAGGGTTGCAAGGAATATCACGATAACAGACATGAAGTTCTAACCAAGTAAGTCAATTGACCGACTGATGCAGCTTAGAATTCTTAAATCTTGTTTAAGTGAATGATGCTAATGTAAAATTGCTTATACTGCTACTCAATTTCACTTTCTCTGATCAAAATCCAGTGAGGTATGGATCAAAAATATACGTTGTTTAAATTTGGTACAAAGAGTGGTAAATTTAAGAGGAGGAAATTTTGGAAATAATTAATTTTTAAAGTCCTATGTTGAGGAAGTCAACATTAAACATAATTAAGAAAGGCTGTATTAAAAATTCTGTAATTTAAGGGACAGTACAGATGGAGACACCATATGCAAGGGGAGATTGTGAATTGAAAATATTACATTTTTGTAATATTTTATCAATTAAAAAAACATATACTACAATAAGCATGGTTCCTCCAGTTTCACACTACCTAACACTTGAATTTAGTACTAGACAAAGTGGTAGGTTACATCTACAGATACTGGCCAATATATTACATTAAAATCAATGAAATTTTTTAAAAGATACTGTGTGTATTTTTGGTCTCTTATAGATGGATTTAATGCTTCCCCCTCCCCCCCTTTCTTGTCCTTTACAGTAATTCTTGCCTTTCCGTTCAAATAAATTTTAGATTAAGGAAAAAAGGAAACAGTTCTTTTGCTCTGAAAAACTGCACCCCATCTCTCTCTGTGTCTCTCTCATAGGTTTTATATACATATATACATATACATATATATAATGTTTTTGTTTGTTTTTAATAGACATCTTTATGAGGTGGGCAGAAGATATCCTAAAGCACTAATTGCCTTAATTCTTCACACAACTGGAGCCTATGATAAAATATTTCCAGCCTGTTGTGAGGCAGATAATAAAGATACCTGTTTCCGGGAAAAGGTATTTCACTATGAATCTTGAAACTTTGTAGAAATAAATTGCAGCACCAACCTCTTCAGGATTCATCAGAATCTGTTTTAGACCAAGTGTGACCACAGTAACTCTAATAATTCTTTCTAAATGTAAACTTATTTAATTTAGGTATCAATATTGTATCAAACATGATATAAGTGTTGTAGAAGTTATAATATTATTGTTATTGGTTGCATAGTCAGCCAGATGTTTAGACTGGATCTGGCATTTTTATCCACCTCTCAAGACCTGGGAAAGGCAGATGTTCTTTGAAGGTGTTCAAGGTATCATTGCAGGATATCAGCTGTTCCAAGTAAAGCTGCTTTTTTGCAATTGACTGAGGGTGATTTTAATGGTGTTCAAGTGGTGCTCCAGATATTTTGGGATTGCACTCAAGATGCCAATAACTATTGGTAATATTTTTGCTTTCTTTTGCAATAGTCATCCTGCTTCTATTTGTAGGTCTTATTGTTCTTGCTGTTGTTGTTGTTGTTTGAACCATGCTGATTTCCTGTGACTGCCGCCATGTTTCCTGCTGACACCACTTTCACTTTTCGGACATCTGGCCTAAGAATCTCTCTCTCTCTCTCTCTCTCTCTTTCTCTCTCCCAATCTATTTATTGTATTGGACAATGTTTTCTTCATCTTTTCCCTTTTGGTTTTGTAACAGGCAACAGAAGTCACAAAGAAATTTAGGGAAAAAATTTATGACCAGGAGGACATTTGTTTCATTCTGAACAACTATGGAAAGGACGCTTTATATCCATTGTAAGTCGGGTTGATTTGGGAAGGGGTGGGGAACTAACTTCTAGGAATGTCCATCAAATATGGATAAACACTGTATCTGGAATTTGGGGGCTCTCTCGAGGACATGTTCATAGTTTCCATAAGGCAAAATGTGTTCTCTATCAAGCACCCAAAACAGATTGGTCACGGATATTCAGAAGAGACTGTGCTACTGAATGCGGAAAATAAGCAGATAATATGTCTAATAATAGGTACATCAATTCATCCCTTGTCTGTGAAAAACCCCAATGGGAAAACAGGATACAAACAAACAAATCTAAATAATTCACCAAAAGACAAGAGAAAGTTTCAGGGATCATCATCTAATAATGCCGGTCATAAGGAGGCTTTTTATAATTCCTCAGGTTTTTATTTCTCCAGAGATTTAAACCATATCAAATCAGTGTCAATTATGACATGGTTTGAAGGCAACAGTTTTGGAACTTTACAACCAATCCTCACATTTACAGCCTTCACAGGTCTGTAAAGCAAAGGAAAGCTGAAGTAAGAGCATAAGCACAGTTGCAGTTTCATTTAGCAACCACTTTGTTAACAACCAAGTTGCCAGTCCCAATTGTGGTTGCTAAACAAGGACTACCTGTAGACCAATCTGCTGAGAATACAAACCGCAGGATGAATGACTACGATTGCTAAGCAGTTTTGCCGATTTCTTGAAAACTTTGGATCATAATAAAGATATACCTTTCTTAAGCAAAATGGTAAAGTCTCCCCTT